GTAACCTCAAATGACTTGGGCACAAACACACTGGAAATAGAAAAAGAGTGAAAGGTACTGGGTCTGGCTTCACTTATAAACAAATCCTCTTTTTAAAGTCGACTGATAATGAAATTTGAACCATTATAATAATATTAAATAGACAAGCTATGTACATGAAGCTAATTTCAACATTGCCTAACATTCTAGAAATGTCCACCTGCAGCTATTTTCTTATAAAACATTATCCTAGGGCGCATTCCCATATATTTTAGATCGATCTATCCCTGTGGGGAGTCTCACTAGATTACTGTCAGATAATCTGGCTTAAATGTCCGTCCCGCCTACTACAAGCTGTAAGGGGGTAATTAACTTTCGTGCCCGCTCGGATGACAGCTATTTAGCGTGAACCCCCAGGGAGTTAGGTCAATCTAGTTGGATCGATCTAATCTCTGGGAATGGGGTCATATACTTGATTTACATTAATAAATCAACATAAAAAATATGACCTAGCTGCATATTGATCATTCCATTTATGCGTAATGTGTGGACTTTTATAAGTTGACATCAATACAACATACCTTTTCAGGAGATGGCAGTTCCAATTGAAAACTGTTTTTCTCTCCCAGTAATTGAAGATGGTCAAAAGGTAAGTATTGGTGTTAGGAATGATTACAAAGACAAAGGTGCCATCAGCACAGGGGTCGTTGTCAAGGTTTGCCACTATTTTTCCACCATGCTCAGCCAAAGCAGTGCCATTAATGTGGTACTTTTGCCTTGCTTTAATACAGGCATATTCGTTTTGAAATGGTGGAAGTGGTCCTCTCTTTGAGGGATCTTCAAAGTCAGTTTTCTGAAAAAAAAAAAAAGAATGAAAACCTTGTGTAGATTTGAAATTCTCAAAAAGAAACCGTAAATCATAAAGGGCAATATACACCCTTAAATGTTTTTAAAAGGCATAATTTGCAAAGAGCAATATCCATAGTGAAAATAATTTACTAATGAAAGATAATATTATATTCACATTAAGTATTATTCAATATTGATATTTATGTCAATTACACCAAAAAGATGGTTGCATTTTATGCACAGTTAAAAAAAAATTCTGTTAAATAATTCTATGTCAGGCACATACCTCTGGTATGTCATTGGATCGTTGACAAACAGCATCAAAATCAGTGCGGGTAAGGGGAATGACCACTTTTTTCTGCATAAGCTTTTGTACCACTGAGCCATGGCGCTCGGCCAGAGATATCTCACCATAGCGAGTTTCAAAGTAGTCCGGGACAGTGAGAAAGGAGGAATCCAAGATTAATTGAACCTCATCATTGACCAGATAACACCTAGAATATTGTATAATGATTGCCTAAGTTTGTATTTCACTCCATTATAAAATAACATTTTGTTTTTGTATTTGACAGCACATGCAGCACAAATTTAATTCAGTCATTAATCGGTTTCAATCAACATAAACGATAATCATGATCCAAAAATGCATGAATTTTTCATATCTTAAAACCTTAAAAATCTATAGTACCAATGCCAAAGAAATGAGCTTGATGACCAAAATAAAATCTTAAAAGGGCCACACCACAGGATTTCCTACTCACAAATAACCCCTTCTTGCACTTGGATTCTATATTTTATTTCATTTTTAATTTAAAGGGAATTTAAAAGGAAAACAACTCTTCAGAGATAAAAATTCCACACATGTAAATACAATTAATGTACACAACACACAGAAATATGGTAAATTCTATTTTACCACCAAAATGAAATCTGTGCTTGCAACTAGACCACATAAATCTTCAAAGATGGCTACCCTCTTAAGACTTTCTTCCAAAATATATTCTGATATCAATTCACATGATAAAAATACCATTATTATTATTATCTAAATTTGCTTCTGTGACAGCTTCAGAAAGTTAACTTACAGTGTTGTACAGGTTTTGTTAGTCCCACAACTGTATATTCTGTCACAGAAATCGGAATTTAAACCAGTCTTTGTGATGTTCTGGACCATTTTGAAGAACTCTACATACAGAAGGTCAAGGCCAGCCACACCCACAACGTCAGAATTGGCACAGGACTGGTTATAACAGTACTCAGAGCCACAATCAGCATTGTTTGTACAAGGACAACCATCCTGCCTTCTTTTACCTGTAAAACATTATTAAAGATATGGGATTTACAAAAAATTATTGGCATTAGCTAAGTTTGATACTATTGAATTTTTATCCTAATATTCATGTAAAGACAATATTGATAACAAACCTGACGAAACCTAATTTTGAGGGCATCTTTTTTCAAATAGTCAAACTGCACTGCATGCTATTATGTAAGTAGGAAAGTTTTACAGCTGATCCCAGAACACATTCTGATGCTGAGGTTTTTATGCTCAAAAATCATCCACACTGAGGATTTAACATCTTTTCCCATAGGAACACCAACTGACCCTAAAATTTAGCTGTTATTCCAGTTAAACATTATATATTTGAAATACAAAAAAAATTCATTCTGTTTACTGATCCTTTTTGCAGAGTTGTCGCTTATTAAACACCTTGTTAATTTTGTCTGTCTTTATCAAAGAAAAATACCATTAAGGATATTGTCACTCCTTGTCCAAAACTCCGTATTTACTGCCTTACATATGGTACATTCTTTTGGGTAATAAATAAATCTCCAGTGATCAGTGACTAAATTAAGTAACATTTACCCATATGTCATCCTATGAGTGATGTCCTCATCATGATTTTGGGGTAAAAACTGAAAAATCGGTTTCTGAAATGTCTCTTTTGCCTGAGCATCCACGATCACCGTTTCAATGCCGATTTGATAACATTATTTAGTACACCAAAATCCTGCCACCGATTTTTAGTCTTAGTTCAGATTTTATTGTTGATAAAGCAAAATAATCCCTTTGTTTAATGAAAATCTGTAATTACGCATAACTCCATAACAAAAGCATTTAAACTAAAATGCTGGCATGTGATTTTAGCTCATACACTTGTGGTCCACTCTGCCAATTTTCATGCTAAAATCTTGTTCAAGGATGAATTAATGCCCCATACTGATTGCTATCTCACCTCAAAATAGAAAGGTATTAAATTGACATTTAAAGCTTTGAGTTGCCTATGCTTATACATTGCAACGAAAAAATATAAAAGCCGATATTTCATATTTTTGCAAGTTTTTTCATTGTTTTAAATCAGCCCAAAGATAGAAGCATTATTGAATGAATAGACGCAGGAAAAAAATCATTTTCAGGGTAACAATATCCTTAACATTATATCCATCTATTTCCTCTTGAGGAAGCACCATAATTTGCTTATTTCAATCTCTTAAAGAAGAGTACAAAATAAAAGGGAGATATAACATAATAATATAAAAAGTGGTGTTACCAGTGTTACACTCAGCTGGTTTTGTTGGTTTGCCAGAATGCACAGTTTTCGAGAGGGTGATTATTTTGTGACCTTCTTTAATTCCTCTGTAGATGTTGGACATGACCACACTGCCAGGACGCACCAGTGCAAGATTATACCACAGTCGCCTGTTTAAAACAAGACACATGCAGACCATTAGGGAAAAAGAATCAAAAATATCTTCAAAACATACAATTTTCTTTTATAGTCAACAATTTGCAAGGTCATGTACCTTTTAGACAATTCTTGCTTACAAAGTCTTGTCATTTTCATGTGGATTCAAATCACTTTTCCTCTAAGCTGTAAGCAACTGACTAAAAACCTTCATGCTACTTCACCTAGTTGGATCATAGCTGCTGGGAATCTGGTCTCCGGGGAAAATTCTCATCGTTCCAGTAGCAGTGGCTATGTAGGTTGATGAAATCTGTCTCTGAAGCTCTGTGTTTCTTGCTTTCCAAAGAGATTCTAATCGTGAGGTTATCTTAACATCAGCACTAGAATACAAAAAGCCTATTTTATTTTGCTTCATCAGATTTTTCAAACTACAAGTGAAACTAGCTTCAATCAGAGATATAATTAGTCTTATATTTCAGTCTAAAAAATTAAAGATTTACTATTTCTGTCGTTTAAAAGTTTAAAACTAATCATTTTTGTTAAAACAAACAAGATGAGCAAATGCATTACCTCTGAGCAAAACAAGAGTTGAAGATAATTAATGATGCAGAAAAAATCGCTTAAATTTTCTTTAGACTGGATTTTGGTAATATAAGCTTCCCTTCATAAAACAATGTATACTTGAGCTCATTAAATTTACTGAAACCAAAGACATTTACCGAACGCCAACCCTGAATATTCCTCCTTCAGGACAGCCCTGAACACCATCCACAGCATTTAAATTTTGTTCTAACTGGGAAGCATTGATATGCATCTCCATGTCATCATCAAATAAGTTGCACATGGACCACTTTGTCATGTGAATATATGAGTAATTTTTGAGACCTGAAAATATATAAAGACATTTGCATTAAGGACCGTGATGCATTAAAAATCAAACAATAAGCTATACCACAAATACTTCTATAATTTATCATTCAAAATACCGTTCATTAAAAACCATGGGCCTGCAATTCAACAAAAAAAAAAAAGTATTTAATATCCCTGTATGCCATACACCATGGACTTTTGAGATGGCATGCATCAATATTCTTTTATAATACTGATTCAATAACCAATAAAAACGTATTTAACATCCCCGTATGCTATACATCATGGGCTTTTGAGATGGCATGCATCAATATTCTGTTATCATACTGATTCAATAACCAATTAAGTTACCTGAGGTGGGGTCAGGGGGGTCAAGCAATGAAATAACAGGATTCTTAGCAGAAATGACATGTTTGTCTGGTATGACACGGCTGTAGACAAAGTTGGTAGGCTCTTCTGGGTATCTGAAGGTTTCATCAACTTTGGCTAGATTCAGCACTAAGAAAAAGTCTGCTCCTACAATCAATTTAATATTCATTAATCATCTATCATAATTAACCATCCACAGGTTGAATGAAATTTAAAACTGAATGAATAGATGAAAGGGAGAAAAGAGAATTCTTTCTAAAAAAGGGGGGCAAATTATATGAGGGAAATTATAAGCAAAACCAAATCAACTAACACCAAGGCCCTGCTGATTAAAAATGAACTGCCCATACAGTATCTATACAATCCTTTTTTTTTTCATTAATGCTAATACTTCCGATTCATTTTAGCATATTTATCAGATAAAAAGTGTCATTTTCATCTAGATTATAAAATCATTGACTTGTTCAGAACTTTATAGGTCATAGAAACTGTTGGTGTACTCCTGATAATTAAAGTGCATTACTTCTCACCTTCTAAAGGAGTGAAGAAATAATGTATATACTCAGTGGGCTTCCAAATCAATTCACCATGGACGTGATATGCTCTTTGGGCATTGTTAGTAATCCTATAGTCTCCTGTCTCATTTCCCACCATCATAAGTGCAGCAGCAAAAAATTCCTCAGTCAGATGGTTAACTTCAAGCTCCCAGATCTTCAGAAATATTGGATCGTCTTTCAACTGTAAAATATACAGAAAAGGTCACACTAATACATATTGTCAAATTTTGAATTATCTTCCAATATCAGGATCTCATGATCAAAGATAAATTTATTATTGTACCATAAGAAAAATAACAACAACAAACAATATAAATTTCTGTCATGCTTGCACAAAGTGTTAAAAAAATACTGAAGTTAAAGAAACCACAGACACTCACATCTGTTGAAGACTTCATAGATGGATGGACCACAGCATGTGCATCTACATCCACAATGAAAGCATAAGCAGTTCCCCAGGTCTCCAGTAACACAAGTTCTTCCAGAGTTACAAGTGTAAAATCTATACCAACAACACCTAGAAATCTGAAAATTCACAGCAAAATAACAATGTATTTCATAATCTTGTGCAGGTATAATATTAATTAGAAGATTTACCAATTCAAAAACCCTCAATTTATACCTTAATTTCACTTCTTAATCAGGACATACACTGTTAGCAACTAAGCAAATGTAACCATATGATTTATTAAGTATAACACCACTAAATTGCAAAATATATCAACTGTTTTTGATATCAGAGCTAACTTTCTAAAAATTCATTTGCAAAAAAATAATTTTTATCGGTCAATGTTAAACAATCAAACTAATTTTTGTTTCTACTCTAGCCAAAACAAGTATGCAATCATAAACATAGATGAACATTTAAATTTAAGGGTGAAGCAAGACTTAATAATACCATTAGATTCACTCACTGATCAGTAAAGTAGCTATAGACAGGCACTGCTACGGTGACCATCAGTCCTAGGCCATCGTGGTCTAAATAAGGGGATGACCACACAGCTTGATGGGAGGCTGAACTGGCCTCAATATGGCTGAAATAATCACTGAGCTGCTCTGGGAGGTTGTAATCACTGTTCACTCTCATCAGGGAGCCATCGTTCTCACAAGCTAGTCTCTGTAGGTCTGCGTCTTTCACAGAACTTACCAAGATGGTGAACAATATGGGCTACAACAGTAGGATTTATTTAAAAATGTAAAATTAACAAAACCCTTTGTCTTACTTTCAGAGCTAAGTGTGCAAACCATTTCAAGTTTTCAACCATTTTACAGGACATTATTTATGGTTAATTTCACCTAATAAATTTCAGGATTTTTTTGAAAATGTTTTGCAAACATTTGCTGTTTACCTTGTTAATGAGATACATCATCAATGTTGCACACAGTTATATATTATATTTTCCAACAAGCCATTCATAAAAGTAATGTAAATTTATATAACCAGTAAGAAAAAAATTAATATGACCCTCACTTTTTGTTGTGTATATTCCTCTTTTAGCCCTCTAACTTGAACAACAAGCTTTCTGTAGTGGTAAATACAGAAATCTCCAGGGACAAAGTAACGCTTATTTTCTGAATCATATCTGTAATAACCTGCAAATGACACAATATGGTTAATTAAAAAAGTAATGTTTCAATACAAAAAAAGAACACCACCTTAAAAATCAATCATTAGATATCTATAATTCACTTACAAGGCTTCTTCTCTAACATAATATTTCTTTTTTTAGTTTGGGAGTTGAAGAAACACTTACAAACAGCTTCATTTGCTATTTGCTAAAATACACTCTTTCAGTATGCAATACCCAGCTGGTATATGTATGTACTATATAAGACAAGGGACAAAGGTCATATTCTTTATTTTTTTCATCCTTTGTCCCAATTGAAATTTGGCATATTATCAAGTGCACATTTTATCAGTACATTTTAGCCATAAAAACACATCACGTTAATCATTTACACCATAAAATTCTTTTAAAAATCACATACCTGGCTTGCACCTCTGATCCCTGTCTTTGTCATCACCATCAGTAATGAAAACTATAAAAGACTGGCAGCCACTCTTAGAGTTGTTCAATAGACTAAATGCCATCTGAAAGGCTACTCTAGAAACAACAACAAGAATAAGCCCTAAAATTAATCATTTCATGAAAAATAACATTTAATCATTATTGCTTGGCTTGGTCTTAAATGTGCAACTGTGACAAAGTTATGAGTAGTCTATTAAAAACACATACATATAGCACTTTAGTGGATGTCAACTGCAATATGTGACACCCAGAGCCTTCAACACGAGGTAAAGCAATGGACCCTGACAAATTGAAATCAACTTGTCACTTGCTTAATACCAAGCATTCAAAGGTGTAACTGTTTTTGGTTATAACCAATACTTTATATAACCAAATCAACAAAAATATCTTGATAACTTTAACTTTAAATTTTGAAAGTTTATGATATAAACAATAGGCTGGTTATAACCAAGCAGTTTAATGGATATATGGATAAACCTGACAGGTCAAATATTTATAAACTAATAAAGGCCTGAAACATCTCATCTTCTTACCTGTGATCTGATCCACCCTCTGCTTTTAATCCAGCAATTACAGCAAACAGTTCACGCTTGTGGGAATTTGAGACAGGCACAAGAGTATCTTTCACACAACCAAGAACCTTTGGACTATGTTCCATTTTCTTTCCATCTTTCGTGTAGTAAAATGATTTTGAAGCTATAATGCTGAGCCTGTCCTGCATTGTCATTGAATTGATTAGTGCTTTAGTTGTAGCCTTCATCCGAGAAAACCTTAAATTATATAAGACAGTTTATCGAACATTTTCTTGTCAAAGATAAATATTAGGTTCTATTGGGTACATAAAGTTAAAAATGTCATTTCACGTTTGATATATCTTTTTTATCTTTTTTTAATATACTGGCAACTAAACTGTATGTCGTAATGAAAAGTTTAAATTAATCAAATTTCTTTTACTGTTCGGAAAATTGAATGAATGTATAATTATTACATTATATTAAATGGTTCAAAAATCTAATTCATTCTACCTATGATTTTCTTCCATTGACGAACTGACATCCATAATGATGACCATATGTTTCGGCCCTGATGTAGCAGCAATATACCACGGTCTTGTTCTAGGATCATAGTCCTGTTGGAAACCTATAAAGTTACGTTTGCTCTCTTTTCCAGGGAATGATCTGTGAACTCCAAGCTTAGACCCAAAATACTGCCACCTAGAAAATACAGGATACATTTAACAAACTACTCTCTATGGTATACTATCCACAATGCTGCTGTCATTCAAAGAGCTCAGTCAAAATGGCATATGGGACTTTAACAAAGATATTCCCATGAACTTCCAGCTATTGGGCCATTGGTTATTCACTGAACCTAGTTTAAATGTCACAACTCTATTTCAGTACGATATTCATAGGACACAGTCTGATATATGTAAATAATTTTTATTTATAAGTTATAACAATACATCACTCTAAGAATAAAATGTTCTTCACACATACTAAGTAATGGATGCAAATACATGAAATCTTTAGTAGCAATCTCCTTTAAAAACTTCATGTCACACATGCACAGCTAAGAAAAATGTGATAACCTGATATCCTCGTCTTCTTGGGCATTCTGAATAAACAGCTTATCTAGGGCTGCAGACCATGCAACTGTGCCAATTACTTCTGGGTTATTTCTGTTTACTTTTTCAGGTATTTTTACCACACTGCTGTTCATCATCACCTCTGCCTTGAATACTCTGGAAATTATTTTATCTCATCAAAAACTAATCAATACATTAATAATTAAGATAAAAATAAATGAAACATACAATATATGTTTAATAACTCAAAGAATGTAAATTGTTGCATGTAAACTATTAATTTCCTCAAAAAAATGGCATTAATTTATCCATACTGATACTTCTTTCATTTTTTTAACACAAAACTGTCATTGCCTTAGGTTTAAATTATATGTGATTTACATCCATAATAAAATTTTTCATTGTAATGCACTTTAAAATATTTCAGTGGTCACCTGCTGTATTTAACAAACTCTCTTGGAAAAACTTTGTCACTGTCGGCATCTTTGAACACCTCAAAACTCAAATCTTTGAGGCTCTTTGGTATGGTGTTATTCTTATCATTCACCCAGTCATCATACAGAAACGTTATTCTCTCAGCAATTTTAACAGCTAGCTCCTTCTTCTTTTGAAAGAAAGACTCTGAAAAGCAAGAGAAAAGATTGTGAACTTATTAAAACGTCTCTTATTCTGAATGATATAAAATAACTTCAAAAAGCAAATATACCTCTACCTGATTAAAAAACACACTCCACTGAAATATGTATTAATTACTACAAAATCCTCAAATAAAATATCACTTTCAAATCAAAATTTCTTAAAAACAAAATCTATAACTAAAAATTATACCTATTAGAATTCGTAAAAACACACAAGAAATGATAAATATAGAAAACACCTACCAAGCTTATTCTTCAACTTCAGAAGTATGGATGTCCCATTTATGGTCTTAGTATGGTACTCAGCATTATCATAAAGTTTCTGTGCATCATTTGCCTTCAGTCCCTTGTCAGCCAAACTATGAAGCTCTTGAGACAATAGCTCTGCCCAGTGTTCTGCTCTAGATGCAAAATTCGCCTCATCAGCACCATTTGCACTTATCCCACATATAAACAACAACAATAATGACAGTGTACAATACAGACTCTTTGTGCGAGTTTTGAAACACAGAAAGGTTTCTTCTTTCTCCCTGCTATTTGAAATTTCAAGACTGCTTTGTCTGTCACAACTAGCCTTTCTACGATTGAAAAATTGAAAATGGGATTCACTGGAATTGGCAACACTAATGAACTGAGTAAGAAGGAAGCCACAAAATGTAGTTATGATGACAACAATTATGCTAGGATTACTATGGCATATACTTCCACTTTTCACAAGTGACTCATGTAAATCAAAGCAACTCTCTGCAGATGCATTTCTAACAATGAATCGTCTACTTTCACAAAATTCTTTTCCATTTGAGTACAAGTCTCTAATCACTGATCCTTTCAAAATTGCAGAATTGCAAGCACTGTACAGAGAGTCACAAAATCCTTCACATACATATAATCTCTCTATCCTATAATATAAGTTCTGATTTGGGGCACATATATAGCACATTAAATAGTTAATATAATCAGAGCAGTCTTTAGATGCTCCCTGAAGCGGTTTAACCTTGCCGAATGTGGCATCAATTTCTCTCTGAAGGCAGCAACTGTTTTCCTTGTACCATGTACAATTTTTCAAATCGGGTTGCGGTTTCGGCGCTCTATTATTAAAAAATGAACAGTACTGCAAAACTGTGCTTCCACTTTCGCTGCTCTTAACAGCTGATAAAATGAAAAATTGTGCAACTGCACATAAAAACACAGCAGTCCTATTGATCTTCATGCTTGGTTGTTATTCGTCTGCTTCCTAGAAATTCTGGATGCGCATGTTTACAGTTTTGCAAAAATTCACCAAAATGTAAAATCATCTACATGGAAAAATACAATTCTAAAATGTTATTGAAATTTTATGTTAACAAAAAAGCTTGAACAAAGCATCATATCCGAATATTATTTTAGGAAAAGGCTCTACGACCCTGTACAAAAAATCCTTCTTTTACTTACAGCCAGCATATTTCCTGTAACTTCCGGTCCTAAGTTCCTGACAGAAATGCACGTATTTGAAATGTAGGTAATTTCTCTTTAATGCATCATTGACATGTGTTTATCACTTCAACTTGTTAGCAATATATGATTTTAGATCCTAGATCATACTTAATAATTACGCCTTTGTAAGATTTCTTGGCAAAGTTGTATTCATTCTCTGAGGCAAGTCTCACTTGAGAGAAACTGAAAGAACTTGAGTGCTCATTGAGTTTGGGAAATTTATTTATTTTTAATTAATATGTGTGTATATGTATGCTATATCTTGAAATAGTCGGGAGGTGACTGGGGTGTTACTACCCTAACAATTTATATACAACTTATCTTTTTTCTGCTCTTTATGCAGAAAATGACAAAACCCCAGGATGTAGAGGAGAGTTCCATGGAAGGTACTGGTAGTGCTGGGTGGCAAAAGGCATGGCAGGCCATTAATGTGGTTGCTGCTGTATTCTTTGCTTTGGCAGCCTATGTGCAGGTAAGAAACATTCATTGTTCTTTTGCATCATCTTTAATATAACATAGTATAGCACCAATTGTGCCGGTAACAACTAAATTGAAGTAATCATCCATCATTCCATACCTTAATTTCAGCTGTTTTGCAGTAAATTCATACAAATGATCAACAAAAGAGTAGAATGTAATGCTTGTATTAATCAATTAGTTTTTTACACACTTGAAACTGTATTAAGTAAAGTTTGAACTTACTTACACTGTATAATAATTCTGAAACTTTCAATCTTGTAATCATTGTGTAGAAGGTGTCACTGCTGACACTGGCAGGACATGTGTGGAAGGTCTTAAAGGGCAGTAGTGTTATATGTCCTATTCCAGTTGTAACTTTCACACGTGCTCACAAAACAATGCTTATTATATCTTATTATATAATAATTGTACTTATTAGGTCTCTGTAGGTGTGATGTTTGCTTCATAAGTGATGAAAGAATAGAAGTCAGGTACCTTGTACTCTGTGCTGTCATATGATATGGACCCTGCTGAACTAAGGACAGGGCATTAATGATATATACTGGGTACTTAGTAATCCTGTATAAGGTGATATTGCATAATTCTGGAAGTCTTGTCAGATACATATTTGTTCAGTTTTTTATTTTTTAATTATAGATTAATGATCCTGACCCATACATTTGGATTGTAAGTATTTTTTACCATGTGTAAATAATGCAGCAGTATGATAATATTTCAAAATGGTAGATGTTCATATTTATAATATTATTGTATTTGTACATTTGTAGTACACATTTCAAAATCGTTTCTTCAGATTTTGATGTACTTGATTTTCTGATCTTAATGTCAAAGTTCAGTTGTAATTTTTCAGAATAAAAATTTAACTAAAAAAAATAACAACTTCAATGACAACATTAAATTAAACAACATGAATATAGAGTTTATAAAATGATCAAATAGTTTTTATTGACAACATGATTTCATAGGTAGTTATTTTTTTCTTTTAGCCTATTTATTTCATTCCTACACTGCTGTGTCTTACAATTGCTATCAAGCCTATTCTTGTTGGTAAGTTCTTTCATACTGAATGGTAAAACTGACTTAGTATTAACATCCATAAATATTCTCTGGTTACAAATTTTTAAAATTATAAGAATAAAAACTTTTATAGCTTGTTCATACCAGGTACTAGGGGGATTGATAAAGACATTATGGCAAACACTATAGATACATTTATTGATATTTGGTCAATTAAAGCCAAATCTATATGAGATTTGCAATTTTACTTCTACTAACTAATTGCTCATCAAAATGGTAATCTGAATGTTTGTAAAGGTCACTTAACAAAAGCGTGGCATGTGGGGTTGAATTTTGTTTATGGTAGATCTTCTATTTCAGAAAACACTGCATGGAGGAATGTTTGTGTGATACACATGGCCATTTGTTTGACTGGAACACTGTACTTAACTGTTACTGTATTAGAAATGACTTTAAGCACTAGAGTCAATCCACTTCAGCATGAGGAAGGAAGGTAAAGAAACAGTTTTAACTGTTTAAAATCAGAGTTTGTAGCAGTTATTATGATAAGAGCTGGGGAAGAATCCAAACATCAGATGACAAAAGGTTGCACAGGCATCCATATTGAAAAAAGGGATTTTTTTTTAGTTTGAGTTTTAAAAATTTAAGATTTGTTTGGAATATAGTGTCAGGGCTTTTGATAAATAGCAGTATTATCCTTGTTTCAGAGAACTTGGTGGTTTGATTCTGGTCATGGCATGGTTGGCAATTCTCAGATTTTCTGGTATTGGAAGGTATGTGCAATCAAGTTTATTGAGAATATAAATTTTCTTTTCCAACAATTCTAATCTTGGAGTTATTTTTAGTCCCATCAAGTTGTGCTTTAAGAATTGATGAAGAAAAGGCAAGTTCAATTGCATTTGATATTCATTTTTGTTCATTTTGCAGAATATGTTAATGTTTTAGTTTTAATGTAGAAAAGTCCTAGTCGTGTTGTTGGCACGATGTACTTTCAAATTGTTCTGGATCTATTATTTAAAGCAGCAAGAGTGGGAGTGGTCATATGGGAGCTCTATTACTACTGACAGCTACTCTAAGCTTTGCACCACTGGTCTTCTGGGGATTGTGCTTCATGGGAGACTGGCCACAGCATTCTCTCTCACATTGCAAAGGAATGTTTCCAGCCTAAGAACAACCAAAATATGTTCTTAAGTGGTAAAATGGATTAACTACTCAGTAATTTCATATTTTATTTAAAAATACAATTTACATATATTTAGATCATCAATGTCTGGTGCTTTTTTAAAAACCAAACCTTGTAAATGTCTGGTGCTGCTTTTACATCTTTTCTGAAATATTACTTCAAGTCTATGAACAATCAGTATTTAAAATACTATTTGTATACAAAATAATCAGTCAGTTTTTGATAAGTATATTTATGTTTGTTGAATGTTAAAGGGCAAATGCAATCTTGTTTCTCAGCAAATGTGACAACATTTTAAGCCCATTGAAAAATGCATTTGATTATATGTAAAAAATATTCTATGTAAAAAAAGATAAATATAAGCAATTATTTTTTCAACTTAGTGATGCAGCATTCCATACGTCAACTATATATTTGAATTGAACTGATTATATGAAATATAAATGGCATCTTTATAAGGAAAATATTTTGTGCATTTCAATGCTAGTTGTGTTCTAATTTTATGCTGTGCCAATGTTTACTATATTTAATAAAATTGTAATTTATCAAATTACATGTTTGTCATAAATGACCAGTTGTTTTCCTGATGGGTTTTTATTCTTGGCACAAAGCTACGTTCTTCTTTTAAAACATGAGACTTCTGGGTTACTGATTTTAACATTAGTCAACATTAGAAAATCTGAAATCGAAGTGCTAATCGAAAATCAAAAGCACAAAAAAATTATCAAGCAAGATTTAATGTTAATTCATCTTTACAATAACATTTGCTGTATAAATTTACTTTCAATATACCATTTCCGTTGTTTATAGTGGTTTACTGTGTTGGTATCTTGTTAAACGACTGGGTCACCATTTTGTTTTAAATGCTTTTATAAAATATATTATAAAAGTTTTTTTTTAATTTTTGTTTATTTATTTATATTTTTTGTATAGTTAAATAAGTAAACTTCTGTGTAACAGCACCTTTTATTATAAAATCTCCCACCATAAATACTACAAACCTCTTATTATTCGTATGCCTGTGTGCAAAGTCTGACCTAACATGTATATGCTATTGCAAGATGCACATGCATTAAAGAAGGAACTGAAGCCAAGGAATATATCGTAACATTTTTTGGTATTTTTTTACATTTTTGAGTAATTACACTGTAATTTCCTTCACATTTATCACATTCCTGAGGGTTTTACTACAAACCACAGCAATTACCTTAAAACCCTAGTTACTTCCAGATTAAATTTGTCTTTAAATATGCTGAAAACAGAATGCTCTGCTATAAATTAAAATGGATTCACTACAGTTGTCCTTACTAAACAAATTCCGTTTAAACAAAACTAAACAAATTTTATTTGTTTAGCCCATTCATGTACTGTACAATCTATATCAATCATACATGATCAGTTAACTTACTTCACCATTTTAGAATCTGGAATTAAAGATGGGGTTCACTTATTACAACATTTAATGCTACTGCAAACAATTACTTCTTACTATCAAAAGCTTCAATATTCATATTTGGTCGCCAAGTATGTCGAACGATAGCCTGTAGGTTGAACAGAACAATACGAGAATTGTTTGATTTCAAGATACCACAGGCATTTTGAAAAATAAATGACTTGATCCTATTCCAACACAAAATATATACACTCAAACTTGGACCAACTTAGTGAAATGATACAACTGACATCTCTCAACAGATAAAGAAACCTTTAAAGCATTTTAATTCATGTAGTGAAACTGATATCACTGAAACTGATCAAATCATCATACTCAACTCCTGAGGTGCATTCTTTCCACGCTGTCTATTTTCCTTCCATATAAAAAAACAGTAACATTTTAAAATTCTTCATAGTTTAATGGTAACAATCAATATGGAACTCCTCGCATACCAGATGCAAAACTGGCTTAACCCCCATTCATAACTTGTTGCACTAAGTCATTTTGCTTGAGATTCTGCTGTTTCCCTTGAAACTGCTGTTGTTGTTGTTGTTGTTGTTGTGGTAATCCTTGTCCAGCCACATTTCCAGGCACAATCTTTTGGCCCTGGTTTACACCTTGAGGCACCTGACCCTGTCGATTGTTATTCTGCCCATAATTTTGTTGCAGCACATTGCCTGCTGGTACATCTTGTTGTTGTTGTTGTTGTTGACCAGCAAGCTGGTTTTGTGGGACTTGTTGGAACTGCTGTCCCTGTTGTACTATGGGCTGCTGTTTTTGCTGTTGCAAAACCTGTTGTTGCTGTTGCTGATTTTGTTGCTGTGCAGCTGGCTGTTGTTGCTGCTGATTTACAGCAGGTGCTTGGTTTTGATATTGTTGTCCATTTATCCCCATTTGCTGCTGTACAGGTTGTTGTTGTTGTTGTACATTAATGTTTTGTTGTCCTTGCTGCTGTTGTACCTGCTGCTGTTGCTGCACTGGTTGTTGTCCCTGTTGTTGCAGTAGCTGTCCAGGCTGCTGCTGTTGCGCTGCCTGCTGAGGCACTTGTACCTGTTGCTGTTGTTGTACTTGTATGTTTTGTTGCCCTTGTTGCTGTTGTAATGGTTGTTGTTGTTGCTGTTGTTGTTCCTGCACTGCCTGTTGTTGTACATTCTGTTTCAGCTGTGCACTTTGCTGCAATTGCACTGGCTGTTGAACTTGCTGTAGCTGTTGTTGCTGTACTGGAACTTGCTGTTGTTGAGCAGGCTGCTGTCCTAGGCCCTGTTGTGGCTGTTGTACCCCCAACTGGTTGCCTTGAACTAGTGGCTGCTGTCCTGGCAATTGCTGTTGTTGTTGAACTGGCTGCTGATTTTGGTCACTGGCTATCTTTCCTTCCTAAAAATTAATAGAGACATTTATTTTCACATTAAACAGCTATTTTATTACTATTACTGGTCAGTAATGAAAATACCCTCACTAAAATAGTTAGCTTTGATGTCAATCAGTTTCCTTTTAACACACCTCTCCCTTGTGATCTTCTTTGTGTTTTTTCAATTCTTCTATGATTTCTCTTTGTTCCTGCAGCAGTTGCTTTGCTTCCACTTGCTGCTTCTGTAATTCCTTCAGCAATGCTTCCTGTTTCTCCTCAATATGGTCCTTTAAAGTAAAACCAAAAATTAATTATCAAACCTCTAAACATTGTATGACAAAAAATACTGATATGAAGAAAATATCTGAAAATATATTTAAGACCTTGTATCATTTTTGTTTTTATATTTATTCATATCTGGTAAAAATGTCACCCTCATACTTTTATCTAAAATGATCATCATAAGAAAAGGTACTGATACATGTACATGCCTGTGTTTTGTTTGAGCTCTTTGCGCTTGCTTTATCTTCTTTCTTCAATTCTTTTTTGTCTTCAGCCACTTCTTTGTCCTCCGAGTTTTTCACTTTTGCTTTCATTGAAGGAGTTGTGTTTGGGACTTCCTTAACATCTTCCTTTTCTTGCTAAAATGTGTATGAGAGAATAATGTATGAAAAATGTCTTCTAGTGCAGAAAATTTTTTCGACAAAACAGAAATCTTTGATGCATAACTTTCTACCTAGCTAATCTGGAGCGAATTTTGACCATTTTCCCTAATAACATACCTTTTTCGTGTCTTTTGCATTTTCCCCTTCTTTTACACTCTTATCTTTTTCTCCTTCTTTATCAGTTTCCTTTTCTTCTGGCACCTTGTCATCAGGCTCATGGGGAATTGGAGGTTCTTGACGCTTGTCATCAACATCTGGGAGAATATAACAATTATGTTTTAAAAACTGAATGCAGGATAATATTGCAAAAGGTGGATGGAAAAGCAGAAGAAAATGCTCATAAGATCCGAAATTGTGCCAAAGTTGAGGCAACTGAACAAAAAAATAGAGCAAAAATATTTAAACCCAAAATATCTTTCCCAAATCAAAGGTAATGCATAAATCTCCACAAAGCTTTTTTTACAACAGGCCTATACTGTTGTATAAAGTTTTCCTAAAAATAAGGGAAGATGAATGTACAAAATATAAAATGCCCCATAACAGGGAGATTTTATATGCAATAATAGCAAACCATAATCTGTCCAAAATAACTGAAAGACTTCATTCACAATAGGCAAACAACCAAACAATGGAGATGCAGATGAGCATCTGAAATACATTGCATATTTCAGGCAATTCTTATGCACACTGATGTTGTAGTTTTGCAGGCAGTTCTCTTTTCCTCCAAAAACTGCAAGACAGAACTGCTTTAAAATGTTTGGAAATTTGAAATCAAGATCACGTAAATTCATTATTTACCATAATTTTACAGAGGGGAGAATCTGCCATATAATAGTTTGAATATCATATCTTGTAAATGTATATTAAGAGAGAAGAAAATGAGGATTTGAGCAAGTGCAGATTTCACCTCTGTGAACCATGTCCAAAAAGCATAAAAGCGATAAAAGACAACATATATGCCCACCACCAACCTTCTCCCTCTTTTTTCTCAACAGCCACTGCCTTTTCCTTCTCCCCTTCTTTCTTTTTAACATCAGCTTTGTCCCCCTTGCTGTCCCCCTTGACAGGAGGTTCTATAAGCTGTCCACTTTTCTCTGTGTCCTTTTCACCTTTCTTACCTTCATCCTTTATTACATCATCTCCTACAACAAAAAATATCAAAGTGGTCATTTCAGAATTTGTAACTGCATCACAACTCTTCCATGACAGAAATGTCTTATCTTTAAAAAGCCACAGACATGTATGCATGTGCCCATGCACACAAACACCAACACACACATATTTTTCATCAGACCAAGTGTTTTAAGTCAAAAGCTAGATACCTAGCTAGTAAACATATCCATATTCAGTTTGACGAAAACTCCTTAAATCAACATGAACTTGTTATTTGTGCTATATTTAAGCATGAACTTGTAATTTGTGCTATATTTATCAGAAGCACTTTCACCACTGTGAAACTGAGAATTCCTATACCCCAACCTGCTTGCTTCTTGACCTCGTCTCCCTCATCATGATCAGCTGACTTTGGTGGTTCTGTGGGCGCCTGACCTTGGTCCACTACTGGGTGTTGATGGTCATCAGGGACCACCAGAGCCTGGCGTGACTGGGCCTCATCGTGGGACTGGAGAGTGGTATAGGTGCTGGCCAGGAGGATGGTTACACCTAAAAATAGCACCATCTGAAACAAGACAATTATAATATTTGTGAGATCAGGGGCAATAATATTGATATAAAGATTAACACCATCTAAAACAAAGCAAGCATATAAATCAGAGTACAAGGACTGTAGTGAGGGTGACACTTAGGTACAGGAATATGGACAAAATACACTATCAAAAAATTTGTCAACAGATTCTGTGAAAATAGTAAAATGCTACCTTCTACCGGGGCGACAGATTGATTTTTCATTGATATTCACAAAAAAAACTGATATGTCTCTAGATAAATAAACAGTCATTTGGCTCTGTGGATTTTTCCATTTTTTCCCTATATAATCTGCCACCCTGGTAGAGGGTAGTAAAATGCAGTATAACTTTCTCAGGGCTCAGCTTGTCTTAGTGCTTTAAACATAATAAGCATCTGTAACTTCGGCTTCATTCACATGCAATGTCTATTTTCTAAATTCTATTTTCTATTCGCGGTTAGTCTTATGATCACTGTCTGTGCCCTGAATATCCCGCGGCGTAATTACTGGCAGCGCGAGCCAGTTACTTATACGAAGCTGTAATTTATTCTCGGCTGTGCTCGGAGGAGATTCTGATACCTTGATGCATGCGCAGTAGTATCTCTAAGCTGTGGAGTTCATCGGTTTAGGTGTGACGACTCAAACATACAGACGCGAAATATGCACAAAATCAACAAACACATTTTTCAAAGCAATCGCGGTTGCCATTAACTTGCTAAATTCCTACTGCGCATGCGTAAAGGTATCAGAATCTCCTCCGAGCAGAGCCGAGAGTTAATTACAGCTTTGTATAAGTAACTGGCTCGCGCTGCCAGTAATTACGCCGCGGGATATTCAGGGCACAGACAGTGATCATAAGACAAACCGCGAATAGAAAATAGAATTTAGAAAATAGACATTGCATGTGAACGAAGCCTAAAACTCATTTTATTTTATTCCTTTCAAATACACTTTGGGTCTGAATACTATGTGTATGTGGGTAAATTGTTCATTCTAATCGGCTGATTGGCCAAAGTCTCCGAGAGAGAAAGCAATGTTGTCAATTTGACTAAATTGTCCAGTAATAAATTAAAAAAACTAAAAAAATTTAAAGCATTCTGGGTTCAACGCTGGAACCTGGACAGCACATTGATCTGTAAGTGGAATATTTACCTGTGCTGTTGACTTGCTTCCACCACTTGAAGAGGACATTACGGTGATGAACATGACAGATGGAAAGATGTAACAAATCATAGAGCCCATTGTGGCCCCTGTCAGACCCAATACAAACTCAACTGAAATTAAAAAAGGATTCATTTAAGAGAAAAAGTATAACACAATGTTCCATGTGACATTTAAAGACATAAATTTATCTATAATAATCAAATACATTATTTCACTAAATATGCAAAGACTAAATACCCTACTGATATTGATCCTTAGCTTTCTATTGATAGGATCAACAAATAAAATTAACAAGCAAATAAATCACAGATTCTTCCATTATCATACTTTTATTTAGAAAAATCTTACAGATCTTTTACAGAATTCCCTTTAACAGCATATTATACATGCTATTTGTTCTTCATAGTTCATATTAATGTTTAAGAAAGATTGAAATCAAACATATGAAGACCACAACAACTGAATTTAATATAACATCTAAGTTACTTACTATTTGGGACCAAAATACCCAGTACCAGAGTAAAAAGTACAATACAGATGGTGATGATTTTAAAGCGCCATGGAGGAATAACTGGGGCCCCACCAATATTACCATGGAGATGAGCCTGTTATAAAACAATGACATTCAAAATCAAGAAAGCTTCACATCTGCTTTCTTCTAACATACATGTAGATACACACTGCAAAAGTATTTGACTTAAAAAAAAAACAGTTCACCAAAACTCCACTGCATTTTTGTGACAAAAAATCTATAATTACAATGACTGTTTTTTGGAGAATATTAAACCAGGGTGTGGTTGGTGATCATGAGCATAGTTACCTCAGAAAAGAACAAAGTGTTGATACTGGCCCTGCATGGGAAAATGCAGAGTGGAAAACTGACAGCCACTGACAGCACAAAACCCATCTTAATGGCCTCACTGAATATTGTAGGTTTAAAGTTCATGAGCACATCTCCGCTGACCGAAACATCACAGAATGCTATATAACCAAAGAATCCAACCTAAAAAGAAATGTTTTTCTTATGTCTTCAACATCTACTATACTATAAATCTGAGTCAAAAGTCTGACGCTTAAGTGAGAGGAAAACTTAAAATAAACCATTTTCATTAAACCATGACATGATATTACTGGAAAAGAGTTCATAAAAACTGAATTGCTATCACATTTACTAATATTATTATACTTTTACTATATATGTTGAACATGTTTAACTATAATGCAGATATAACAATTGGAATTAATCTAATAAGCACAGCTTTGAGCATTCAACGGTGCCAATGGGTGTTAACTATCTACTCATTGCAATGCAGCTTAGGTCTTAGATATGAAGCAGTGAATCACTGAGACTGAGAGATGATTGATGGAAAATCAAACAGCAACCATTTATCACAAAATAATCTCAGCTATGGGCAAAGGAAGGCAATGATAATAAAGCAGAGTATGTATTTACACATCATGTGTAACCTATTAGACTTAGGGTACAGGGGGCAAATTTTCATATCAAAATGAAGCAACTTTTTGTGATTTCTCAGCATTTCTGTCTTATTTGCTATATGTTTAAAATACGTAAATAAAAAGAAAATATGAGGCTCATAAAAGCAAATGGTAATAAATTTATGTAGGTAAAACTGAAATTTAAAGAAACAAAATCTGCAAAATGATTTTGGATACAGTGCTTTGTATTAATTGATAAAGTTAAGCTGACTTTCAGAAAAACTGTCTAAAACTCAATCAAACTCAATCAAAATCCATTCATGCCTTTTAAAAAACTAAGTAGAAAGAATTAGCAGTAACTACACTGTATTGTATGAAGTCTGCCACCTGAGTGAAACAATCTGAACAAAATCAGTAAACATGCTGTTATGACCGTTACTAATATTAACTTACAGTTAAATATACTGCAGTACAGAACCAAACAGCGCTCTTCACTATAGAGTTCATTCTATTCACTGATGGTTCCGGCAGGGCATCATACATTACAAATAACTGACTGTAAGGAAAAAAGACACAAAGGTTAGCCCACTTTCATACTATTCCTTTTATGTGTTTGTTAACACTCTGAGTTTCAGAGTACAAAATTAAGAAGATAAGTTAATGTCTTGGGCATAAAAAAAAAAACTGTAAAACTGTAATTCAGTGTGAATGCTTGATATCTTTTATGTTAAGACATCTGAGCTCACTCTTGAATATTTAGCTGAAGCTCATGGCTGAAAATTATTATCAAAATATAAATATATTTAAATTTTCCTTAGCTTTTGCAACTTGTCTTTAGGATTTGCATACATATACAAGAATGAACTCACCACACATAACATCACAATTAACAGCACACTTTCCTTTTTTTGTCATCACTGTGAGATTTTAATGAAAAGTAACTAACACTGCATACCATAAAGGATATAATAATATTAGCAACCTTGTTTGCAAACTTACACCAAAATTGATTACAATACTGAGCCATATAGTACTTTTGACTATTGACATTATTCTATTCAATGATGGCAAAGGCAGGGCATCATATATCACAAATATATAGCTGAAAGGATAAAAAAGAAAAATAAACACATTTAAAATGTCCTACCGGTGAATTTTTCTTTCTTAATTGAGCAAGTCTTAATAACAAATTTTCTTAACCATTTGTGCTGACTGAAATCGTGAAATTTAAGTGCTCTTCTTATACAGATGCGTGCATGATTATAAGCGTAAGAAAACTTACGTCTGACATGCTAAAGACATAGAGAATATAGGCAGACACTGGAACATGCCATCTGCTTTCCAGAAGTCCACTTTAGCTACCCACACCCCTGACCACAAGTGTGGGAATGCTGTCAGGACAACCTAGTGGTAAAATAAAAGAGGGATTTTATGCAGAGATACGAACAGACCATGCTAATAAAGAAAGCAAACATTAAATCTTTCATCCCATGATGTGGTCTTTTAATCTATAATAAAAGATCCACATAGATTATTCACACAATAATTATAAAGGAGAAAATAAATTTTTACAAGCACGACTTTTTAACATTTTCATGCAGTTCTCTAAGAATACAATATTAGAAAATAAAACTTCACCCAAATTTCTCATCCTTACCTCTGCCACAAATACTGTATAGAACCCTATGGATACTGCACTTATGTTACTGAGACTCTCTATGCTCCTTAACATTCCTAAAGGTAGCGCCACAAACAGGCCTAAGAACACCATCAAAGAAGTTCGCAGTGTTGAGGTATTCTGAAACAAGAGCACCAACCTTACCTTTTTTACGAGAATATTAACTGAAATGTTTGCTCTGTTCTTGGAGTTTAAGACATCTTGTAAAATACATAAACAGCTCTTATGAAGCATATACTGGTGAGGGAATTAGGATTCAAAAACATAAGCACAGATGGAAACTAGCAATTAGTTTTTTTTTCTTTTTTACAAACCCTTGCATATTATTTTCCTTATCTTCCCATAATTGGTATAAATCAGTTTTACTTTCTGAAGCCATGCTCATACAAGACAACTACAGACCTAATCAGGATGTAGTCATAAACATGCACACTCAATAATTATCAATTTGGATGAACAGGAAAACCAAAGCCTTATATGATGCAGTCTGCCAATGAAAATATGGTTTGCTGTTTACAAACTAAGGCATATAAACTTGAGATAAACTTTACCTCTATTCCAAATATTTTTGATACAATGGGCGGCCCCAGGTCTCCAATTATCACAAAGAATGCTATACACGTTCCTATCAACAGGCCTATTATGCTGGAAGAAGGAAAAATCTGTTATGCATTTGAATCTGTATCAATTCTCTGAAGTGTTTTATGGTATGCCTAATTTGTATACATGTACATGTAAGCACTATAAATCATTTAAATTTAAAATACCAACAAGAGAAACTTTTTCATTATATCTATATATAAAAACAATATTGTATTGAATTCCAGTACACCTTTCTGACAAAAAAATTGAGTCAAATCCGAATCTCAAATAAGTTGATAATAAAGTTTATATAATGACAAGTAATTCATCTATACCTGACTTCCACTGCCAACTTCCCAGCAGCACCAAATGTATGGAGAGCTATAAGATAAGTTACACCATACTTAAGTATTTTATACTAGACTAGTTGTTTGTGTCAAATCACAACTAAAGGCGCTAACTAACAGAAAATTTCTCGATAATTTTAGTCAAATAAATATTGCACTAAATCCATTAATAATCTGACAGAAAAATGCCAATGAGACTAACTTAAGTTCATTGTGCCATGCAATGTGCAAGAAAAAATTTAAGAAATAAAGACCAGTTTTAACAAATGACACACCTAAATATTCATAAGACCTCTTCTTTGCAGTGAAAGCAGCCTTCATGAGAATCCAACATGCTGTCTCAGTTAACCAGGCACTGCCTAGCAGAAGCACAGTGCCCAACACTACACCACACTAAAACAAAATATAGACTGATCATCAGAATTATCATCACTATTTAACATCATTTTATTCTCTAACATGTTTATTATTTGTTCATTATTTCAAGTTATTCTTGAATTTTAATGAAAACCATATGCTAAATGTATGGCTAATTTCTACACATTACATTGTAAGCACAGGAGCTCTTGTATGAAAATAGAGGGTCTAGTAAAAGGACACTACTTGTGTTACAAACTGGAATTCATCACCAGTTAGTTACTAGTAGTGAACATATATTTTTATAAGCAAATGCAGTTTGATACTAAAAACTGGCAAATTACCTGTTTGAAGCAAAATGGCATAGCCAGCACGCTAACGCCAATGATGCTGTTCCCCAAGTTGATGACATAGGGCCAATTCCTTGCTTGTCCACTTCCATGCATTGTGAACTGTGTGGCTGGAACTTGGACGTGTACTTTACTAGGCCCTTTTTGATTTTCTTATCAATGAAAATACGACACATGACAGTATTAAGCTAAATGACCATGAAAAACAAAATCCAAAGCTACATTAAAGAGATAACAACTATTCGGTTGGCCAAAACATGCTTTTTCCAGGAATTAAAGATGGTTTTCCTATACTTTGTAATGGATAATGAATCGATTCCGACTTTCAAAACTAGTCAGTGTGCTTTTTCTTTAAGTTTGGTTTTTTGTAATTATCTCTTAAGGGATAAATTGCAGAAGCATAGCCATCTATGAAGGTCCATGTGGTTCTATGGCAAGCACAGATTCCAGAGTAATTGCAATAACCATTGCTTTGGTGGTAAAAATGGAATATGTAATATTTCTATGAGTTGTTTATAATTGTTTTTGTTGTACATAATATATGAATCTCATAGGAAGATGTTGTCACTTTAACAATATAACCGCAACAAAATAGCATTACTGACCAATAAACATCATAATTAATTGTAAACTTTCTTTACACTTACAGATGTCATTATTTATTGTTCTCAGTGGACTGTCTACCCTTGGCAGAGGCATTTTTAAACTCTTAGCTACTTGTTAAATTCATTCACTGGGAAAAATACATATCATATATTTAAAACCAGAGGGTTTACATCTTACATTTTGTTTTAACTACTGCATCGTGCAACTGGATCATCGACACATACTCTTCTTTAATTTTCACTGCATTCTGCCATTTAAATTCACACGTCGCAAAATAAAAGCACTCTTTAGTTTAGAAGACTGCAAAAGCGAGTTCACCATTTATTGTACTTCCGGTTTGATCCCGATGGCGGGAACGAGCTTAAATTTCTATAATTAGTCCGAATTTTTACCTTAACGCACAACCGTAATTTATTGACCAGGTATCAAAGTTCAACTATACTTTACAACTTAGCAACAATAGCCTTAGTTATGGTTTCATAACATCCAGAAATATAATTTCACAACCATGTGCAACTTCCGGTCCTCCGTGTATTTCCCTACAGAAAACCCGTAATCGGTCCTTTTTACGAATGTACAGAGAGAGTCAACATGCCTGTAAGTTAGATAACCAGATATAGTTAATTTTTCTTGAAACCATTGCTTGTTTGCAGTCAAAAATAGTTTCATTCGTTTTATAAGAGGTTCTTTTTGCTCATGAGTACTTTCATTTGGCTGAGAAGTAACTTATTTTCGCGTAATGCCATCTACAAATAGGGTCATAAACATGACTGGACTTGAATTTCAGTGCTAAATTTGTCTAAAAATGAAGAATCGATAACTTCTACGCAGTGCAGTTAATTTTGTATCATATGGCATTCAGTTACGACTGTTGTATTTATCCTTGCACGGTCCACTTTTTGTTGATTTTATGTATTTGAACGGAAGTAGTAACTCGAACATCGTTTTGTTTACCTGGGCGAAGGCGTTTCAGGAATATATCACGATTTTAAGATATTAATAGTCGTTATTGCCACCATTACTCTTCAGCTTTCTAGATTTGTTGCTGTTTATCTCTTGCACCTTTTTTTGTCCGTCTGTTCATAACAACAATGACTTGTGCTAGTGTCAACAAATTGGATTGAAATAATATCATTTTCCTTTCAGCTCGCTAAAGATTTACTGCATCCCTCCCTTACTGAGGAGAAGAGGAAGCACAAATTGAAGAGACTTGTACAAAGCCCTAATTCTTATTTCATGGATGTAAAATGCCCAGGTACTATAACGATTCCTACTTGTACTCTTTACACAGAGTACTGTTGTGTGCTTTTCACATTGGCATCAGGCGTCTGTCTCCCTATTGGTGTTTTTGGGGATGAGTCTTTATCAATAATGCCACTTGTGAAATCATGTTTGAAAGTAACAGTTGTTCTCTTAAAGGTTGTTAGTGTTATCTATACAACAACCCACATGCAGCTTCCATAAATTTATGGTTTCTTGATTAAATGTTAGTGAAATTTATAATGACTGTCATATATCTCCTGTGTGACATTTATTCAAGATGTCATTGTTCTTCCAGGCTGTTATAAAATCACCACAGTTTTTAGCCATGCTCAGACAGTAGTGCTGTGTGTTGGGTGTTCAACAGTGCTGTGTCAACCAACTGGAGGAAAGGCCAGGTTAACAGAAGGTAGGCTGTCGGAGACAAACACAGCTTTACATCTTTCTAGGCTTCAAAGCTTTAAGTGAAAAAAAATCTTGTCTATGAATTACTTTGTTCCTTTAATGAATAACCAAATCAGACTGGGTTTCAGTGTGATGTCATAACAGTGAAGAGTTGTTGCCTCACTGGTTTCATTTTGTTGTCTTAGTTTGCTTTAATCAGCTGGGTACACCTGTTTAATCCTTTGGGGGTGTCTAAAATCGTAACAATTGAAAATCTGATATAAAACAAATGGACTGCCAGCTTGTGTTACTAAGCAGTAGCTTGTAATGAATGTTTGACAGTTAAACTCCAAATAGGTGAACATTTGGAAAAATAACAAGTGAACCATTAGTAGTTGCACTCATCATACTACCACCTGAAAAGATTAAACAGTTAAAACAGGGTGTTAACCTTTTTAAGTACCTGACAGACAGTCGTACCTGGGCTATTCTGAGGAAGATCTTTGCTGAGCTCATGATGGCTGTAATTAATAAGAATTATTAGGTTTTCATTTGCTTGTTATAAGAGAACCTGTCACAGAGTACATACATTTTATAGCCTGCGAGAGTATAACAAATATTATAATAGTAGATTGGAAATTTTTTGTTTTGAAATGTAATTGATAAGACTTTTTTTTTTTCCCCATTTCAGGGTGTTCGTTCAGAAGGAAGGCACATTAAGCAGTTGCAGCAGAGGAGCTAATGATTTGTGGACATTCAAATAAGAACATCATGTGAAAGCAATGACTTTTATCTATTAAGTGAATTGATCGTCTTCTCATTGGACTGATCTATTATTGTAAATCACAATCCATGATCTGTGAATACTAATAAATACAACTTGTATGTATGAAGGAACCCTCTGCATTTTCGTGTTTTTACCACCCTATGCCAATTGTCAATGCTTTTGAAGTTTAAAATTATGATTAACACCTTAGATGTTGAAGGGGATTTCAATTGGGGTCAATTAGCACTATATTTTGCCAGTTCTTATTTATTTTTGTAAATAAAGAATAAGAAAAAAATGCTGATGTCCCTTGCAAGTGTGGTACATACTTTTCCCGTGGGTTTGAGGGCGTTTTTGAGGCGTCTTTTAAACAAGGCAACAAAGCTATCAAATGTGCAGACATAAAGCAGAATATAACGATGTCAATGCACAATTGCAAGAAAAATATACAAATAAAGCTGTTACGAATATAGTTCTCAAAATTTACCTATATTTCAATGCTAAGAACCAACCCAGTGAGGATAATAAGGCACTGGGTTATCCCTTTATTGCATTGACGTTGACAAATTACAAAATATTACAAAACGGTTACCAGCCTATTTTAAAGGAGAACTGTTTATTTTGGTCTAAAATGGAGTTTACTAGGGTAAACGACTATAATCCCATATTTAACCTAAGGTTAATGAATCCGTTTCGACATTCAAAATCGCTGTTTTTTAGTTTTTTTCAAAGGGTAGCCATGTATGGAGGTCACGAAAGTCGGACATGCAATACATAGAAATATATCTAGGAATTTTATAGTCTACTGGCGACAGCTACTGCATATTTTCTTTCTCAGAATGACCTAAACCATGGCGTGTTAAATGTGACAACAGACAGATGAGCGAACCTCATCTCCGTATTTTATTAAACGAATAACCATTGAAAACGTGGTGCGGCCACAGCAGAGTTAAATATTTTGAAACATTCTGCAATCGGTGAGCGAATTGCCAAAATAATCTGTTTCTGTTAAGAAGTCACAAAATTTGATTTTTTTTTTAATTTATCTGTAAGACCTTGTACATTAGCCGTTCTTTGAGAATTACTTGAACAACTTCTCAATCTCATCATGCCTGTTGTAATTTGCATAACAATAAGCCGGCCAGCGCAGCGCGAACTATCTTCTTGGCTGATCACTTGACAGCTGGCCACTGCGGGAGAAGGACGTGGTACAGATGTGGCAAAGTTGGAGAGCTGAACATTTCATTCAGCGTTAAAACTTGAAGGCTTGAAAAGGCGGATGAAACGCGGAAATCAGTTACGTCTGATGTGTATTATTTGATAATGCGGTATGTACGGCTACTGTCTGAGTAATTTACATGCTTCTCCCCTGTTTGAATTTGAGTTTAATAATAGTGTTTGTTGGAGGCTTGTATTAAAATTCGAAAGGCCGGGGAATGGGTTGAATAGCTTCTTTGTCGGTTGTAATTGAAATGTTCTTTGCACCACTGACAACATTTTTGTTGTATTTACAAGTTGATGTTAGAAGGTATTGTCGCGAGTTCTGAAATTTCAGTTTTTCTTGGGTAGTTAATTGGAAAGTTGATAATCTCAATAGATGTATAAATAGTTTATCGAAAGTAATATTATATCACTTACTGCATGGTGCCCGAATACCGTCACTTCAGTACCACTTGCTGTCCGCAAATGGGCCACCTGAACAGTTATGTTTGGAAGTACTTCTTTCGTATTTGTATCTGATGTATATTCGGTATGGAGCGTAACTTCATCCCTGAACAAGAATTTATCACGGAAATTGGCAGAGTGAACCACGATTGAATGGGCTACAATCCCGTGCCGTCATTTTGGTTTAATGTCTTTTGTTATGGAGTTATGAGCCCCTGGTTACAGATTCTCATTAAACAAAGGCATTATTTTGCTTTATCAACGGTCCAATCTGAACTAAGACTTTTAAGAAAAGTGCTTTTAGAGTACTAAATAGTGTCATTAAATTGTCATTGAAACGGTAATCGTGGGTGCACAGGTAAAAGAGAAATTTGAGAAACCGATTTTTTCAGTTTTTACCCCAAAATTCCTGTAAGATGACATATGTGTAAATGTTAATTGATTTAGTCACTGAACATTGAAGATTTATCTATTACCCAAAAGAATGTAAGTAAGACAGTAAATAAGGAGTTTTGGGCGAAGGGTGACAATATCCTTAATCCTCGTCTTTGTTCTCAGTGTGCTAAAATTGTTGAACAACATTCATTGAAATTTCTTGTGAAACATGGAAGAAGCTTAGTTTTGAGTATTACATAACATTTTTAACTCGATTTCTTTCAATATCTGATTATGTTAATTTTATCTTAGCTTACATTTTGTTGGATTGGGATATTGATTAAATTCATCTTAATATCGTTATTAAAACGTTTTTTCTTCTTAATATTTCAGAATCGACTACCTTGCAGAACTCCTGTACTTAATTGCATCTGGAGGAATCTTCCCAAGTCTTCTGGCCGTGCTTCGGAACCGGTCTCGGGCATACACAAATGCACACGGACCCACGCAATCTCTCCCTCTCTCTCTCTCTCTCTCTCTCTTTCTCACACACGCACACACACACACACACACACACACACACACACACTATGGTGATAAGCATACGTTTGGTTATTGCGTTTTTCAAACATTTTAGGCCTACATGTAAGATTTTAACGTATTGAGGTGTTGTAGTAAGAGCCATTGGGTTTCATTTTCAAATAATACCCAGAAATCGATCATTTTATCTTTTGAAATTATATAAATTATATAAAGAAATTGATCACATTTGTTTTTAAATTATATCCAGAAATGAATCATTTTATTTTATAAATTACATCCAGAAATGGATCTTTGTTTTTTTTAAAATTATACCCAGAAATCGAGCTTTTTTTTAAAAAAAAATTATATCCAGTTATCGATCGATCTTGTTTTTAAAGTTTACCCAGAAGTGGATCAATTTACTTTTTTCAATCATTTGTAAATCTTGTTTTCTGACACTTGTGAATGGCAAGCAAATTACTAAAATATAAATGCGCTTCTTTGGATAGTTTTCGATTTTATTTAAAAAGCACATTTGTAAAAGTAATATAACTGGATTTTCAGAAGCTGTAATCTAGCGTTTTGAAGTGTCTTTGCTTTTATAAATTTAAACAAACTTTTTTTTCAAAATTTATTTTTTTCCAAAATTCTCAAAAATTGCCTTTTAAAAGATGTGAAAATTGAAATTAACAAATATGGAAATTGACTCAAGTTGGAAATAAAAAAATATATATACACATCTCCACGTTGAGATCACAGTTAGAAAGATGGGCATAAGAAAATTCTGGATCTGCTAATTTTCAGATGTGTCATTTTTCGTTCATATCACCATTCCGCCCATACTATATACCGCACTATATGTATACACTAGATGCCCAAGGCTAAAATAACTTTATTCTTTTTCTTAAATTTCAATGTAGATCGGAACCATTTTTAGCTATTGGTTTCTGCAAGTAAAAAGTATGCATAGTAAATGAAATTACATTAGAAAGACGCATTAAATTCCAACACTCTCTGAAACCACGATTTTCACATTTCACAAAATCCATTCTTTTTCTTTTATTTCTAACTTTTATTATTCTGCTACGCGAATCTTTATCTTCTTCAATTTCTTTACCGCCGGCTGGCGTCTAGTGCACCAACAAAGATTTGTTAAGACAATATTGCATTGATATTTAATTATCACTGTACATGTGTCACTACGCTGAATTTCAGACCGAAAACTGTGATAAAAGGAAGTAAAATACTTAACGAAATTGTCCATTATTCCACTGTGTTCGGAATCTAAATTTTTTAACGATTTCCACATAAGCAGAGCACATTTATTTAAGTTTTATCATTTTAAATTTCAAATGCATTTTGTAGTAGTTTAAGAGTAATTTTACATTTTTCATTGTATGCAACTTTTCCTTGACAATGCTAGCCTTCACTTTCAGCTTTTCCAGCTTGTTAATTAGTTAGCGTGTGAAAACAATGTTTCTCATACAACTGCACAGAGAAAAATGTCATTTTAGTAATATGTACTGTACTCAACAAATTGACATATATTAAAGGTTGATTTTGACAGTCCTGCACAAAACACATGTTCATTACTGTATGTAAAAATTAATGGATATCGTTCACCATTATTGTCTGTTGTTAAAGTTGCCTTATATAATAAAAAAAACCTCATACAAAATATCTCCGTGTGTTTGTTTGGAATAAATGATCGTGTTCAGTTTGTTGTGGAACTTTTTCAATTTAAAGGGTGACATGGGTACAGTACATTTAGAGGTCACTTTGGGTCGCATCAATTTCATATTGAGGGGTCGTGGGTGGGACGAGTCCATTCCAGATTTGAGGGGTGACAGGTGGGGTGAGTCCATTCCATTTTGGGGGGG